CTCTGATCGCCTTGAAGAGCTCATATGGCTGAACATTGTCCGGGTTGACGTCCGGATGGGTGAAGTATATGGTGAAATTGTAAAGCGGTGGAAGAGGACAGGAATCCAGGCCCTGGAACACCATGAGCGCGTTGTGCCTGAAAGGAAGAACATGAGTTATCCTGCGTGGGTGGCGAGCCACTCTGCGGCCTCCACGGGTTACGGGCATGGAGGAATCGGGTTGGGTAGAGCTGATGGTCGTGGTCTGATGAGGGTTACACGAGGTAGTGTTGGCGTGCACATGGACAGGTCACATGTCGGCTGGTTGAGCTACGTGCGCCAAGCGCAAATGAAATTGGACTCCTTCGTCCGGACCTTCTTGATTGCAACGCCCTCTGAATTCCATCACAAATTGTGTCTAGATAACTGCTCTGTGTGATCATGTGCGATCCAAGCAGGCTGTATATGGGTTGTTGCCTAGATGATGGGTGACAGGCTGCCACTGGCGGGCAATTCGGGAGTAGCATGGTCGGCGCGCACGTCCGGCTTGTCGCCCAAGGCCTCTGAACCAAGACAGAGCTTCCGCTCCAGCAACAGCCCTGGAGCTACCGCCCGGATCAATCACGAAGTCCTTCCAAACTTATGTACCATGTTCTGACATCGAAATATTGATCGTACTGCGCTAATCATGTGGTCCACTCCGAACCAATGCGATAGGCATACCTCCCGAAATCCGCTTCCAATGAGCTACACGACTAGTCGACATTCACACTTCCTCAGCGGTCACGTCCACATGAGCACCCGTGTAGGCATCTCTGCAATCGTATCGCAGCACATTTCCACCATCGTATACTTAGCACTTCTCGAACAAGCCCGTAAAACCGCTCGATCGCGCGTCACAATCCCGTTTATCGCCAAGCGACTGCCTGCATCACAGCTAGGGCGGAGACACATTACATTGGTACTTGGTCGACATGATCAAGTCCACCGGATAGGTTTCTGCGAGAGCGACGCTCCAGAGCCGACACCACAACTTGCTTTGAGGTGCGCTCAGTACCCTGCGCCTTGGGATGAGGCCGGAAGCGAAGCTGGTCGCGGCGAGGCGCGCATACAGCACATGCACGAGCGCCTATGGCATCAGCTCATCGCAGCGGTACGCAATCGTAGGCATGAAGCTCGGTCATGTCAAGGTTGCGAGTTCCCTGGATATACATAGTTCTGGTGGCTGGCCGCACGCATACATCGACACGAGCACTGCGCTTCTGTCACAGAGACTGAAAGTACAAGGTTTCGAGACTCATTCGACGTCGATGCGTTGTCTGAAATGGCACTCGGAAGCATTGCTCATGTCATGACTTCGAAGGCTATTGACAGCTCTAGGACTTTGAGCGAAAGTGCTCTGCTTCACTTTTCGCCGACCTTCCCAGTCATCGAATGTGTCGCCATATACCCTCGTGTTGGCTTTCGGCATGGGCTCTCAAGACCATACTTAATGATTGATATATACTACGCCTTGTTGAGCTACCTAGAAGAGTCCTCCTTCATGATCCACTCCTCACTAGTCGCATCATTGGTGACAACACCCGGCGAATCATGACCATCGCGCAACTTCTCATCTCTGTTCACTGAGATACCAGACCCAGACACGGTGCCGATGCTAGCTTGTGGTACCTCTTTTCCACCTGCAGCCCAAGCGCGGGCGCTTCCCGCATGTTCCGCATCCGTGAACTCGTAATCTTCGCCATGATCCGATGGCTCGCCCGCGCCTAGCTTGAATAGTTTGGAGTTTCCAACCCGAAAGGGAGACTTGCGCCAGGATGCTCCGCCAGAACTCGCTGCGTTGCCGCTGTGTGCCGCCGATGGTCCAGCAAAGATTCCAGGAGCCATCATCGCTAGAAATGGACGGAGACAAGGTAGACAGCCGCTCATGATACCAACGTTGAACTCGATGCACAATGCCATAGTGACCCGAGTTGCAACCCCTGCGAGAAGGCTATGTTAGCACGATGACAGTCTATTGTGGAACGGTACTGCTCACATGTGGTATCCCATGTCTTGAAGTAATCCTGCGACCAAACGACCTTCAAGATGCCGCCGACGCATGTCAGGACGCCGAAAGAAAAAACCGCGACCAGATGCACGCGTTGTGATAGCGGTAACTTGACCTGCCACAGTGGCGCGACTGGCCAAAGGAACACCACAAAGTCCGACACTACATTGCAGATGCCGCTCGCGGTGAGTAATTGATGCGAGTCCAAACATACTTTGTCGATAATCGTGAAATCCTAGAGTGACTGGATTGGACTGGGACAGGAAAGTCAGTCAAGATCAAACATCAGCCCTGGGGTTATGACCTACACGCATTGCAGAATGTAGAGTGCCGACGAAATGACACCCCACAGAAGCTGGTACCCGATCATCGTCCAACAGAACAATTTGTTCGTGCGCGAGGGGAAAAGCTTCAGGTACGTCATACAGACGGAAAGCTTTGTGAGTGTCATAGAAGCATTGTACATTGTGACACTCGCGACGTTGTACTAAGAGCCATCAGTATGAATATTGAAACCAATGGTAATTGCTTACTTTTGCAGAGCTCACAAACGTCATCGGGTTCACATCATAAAGATGACGCCCAAGAGAGTTGGTGGTTGTAACCAATAAGCACACAGAAATCGCCAAGGCGAAGACCTACACATGTTAGATACATAACATAAGAGCATAGGGCGAACATACCGCTGCGCCAACCATGATCCAGTCATCGGCTCCTACACCTGACTTCTGATTCGCCCGAACGTAGATTCTGCCAGCGACAAAAAGCACCATTGGGATGGTTGTCGCGTATATTGCAGCTTCGACACTGCCCCTTTGCGAGACTGGGTCGACATAGTTGGGTATTGGCCATGTTGCGATGATGGCTGGCGTGAGCGCGGTTCCAGAAGCCATAACAACGCCGGGATCAAGGTTCGTGATATGGGTATGTTTGGACTTGTAGTGCCAGAATGTTTGGTTTGTATCACAAAGTCAGAGGCCACGCGCACGGCACGTACACAGGAGTGTCGAGATTCCAAGACAACCCCCGGACTGAAGAGACAGTGAAGACTAAGTATCCCGGTGCAAGGTGGTGCTGACCTTGATTTCAGAACGCTTGCGGGTTCTGGTGTGTGGCTCAACCTTGCTCGACACGTCGTGACTGACACCGGATCTGACTCCGCCGTTGGACAGCGTACTACCAACGCCATTTCATTAGTGCACGCCATCGTGCCCAGTACGCGAAAGTAACCGTCAAGTCGCCAATCAATTTACCGTGATAGACGATCAGGCCTCCTCTTTGCACCGATTTCAAGTTTACGGGCTTTTGCATGATTGCCATCTAACCACGTTATTAGTAGATCAGTGCGTCAGTGATCGGCTTGTGGGTAGTGTATATACTTGCAGCGACTACTCAGACTAGTGTCCCCTTTTCGAGAACCATCCGGAGCATTTCGTCTGTCGGGTGATGTACCTGGCAATACATGATACATTTTCATTTGTGAGAGTCGAGTCGTCGTCACATCATACGTATGCAGCAGTATAAGCAACGAAGAATAGAGCGCACCAATTTCTATAACGTGACAGGTCTCCTCGACAATCACAAAACAGTATAGTCAAAACATGTGCATCTACCTAGGCATGCTTGCAGCCGGTTGCCCTCATCTCTCGCGCTATCTCGTACAGATATCATCGAGATGCAGCCTCGCCAATCGGACTCGGGGCCGTGAGCGTGTGGATATGCGTGAAATCTCCGTTCCACGGTCCGGTGCACCTTAATAGCCCGCTGTCTAGGCTGGTACCTGACGCTAACTCACCTGAAACACATGCGGGTCATCTAAGCCGCCACAAGTCGAAGCACGCAAACGAGCTGTATGACATGCTCTTGGGACTGTTTACCACGTTTATCGCGTGCGAAGGAGCTCCTCGTAGTCGCATGATCCCCAGCGTCATGCCCTTGCTGGAGGACCGCGGTATGAACCTAGATGTCATTGGCCTCTAAAGATAAAAACGACTGCTCACGTCCCCTGCCCATGTGATTAAGCCCAGCAACTTACAACCCGCTTGCAACATCTGTTTACGAGTCAAGAAGCGCGCGATTTCGGTATGAAAACCTGGTAACGCGCAGAATGCTTATCGCGCATGATGGCTACCTGGTGGCTGGGTACAACGCCCCCGCTCCCGCAATCCCCGCGGCGCTCTTTCCGATTGGGTCGCATACAAGTTTGCGTTCTCCACGATCTGTATGTACTATTACCTAGGAGCCGACATGCTGGATGATAATATCCCTTTGCGACCCCCGCAGTCACGATGGTAGGCAACGAGGCGTTGGTATGGGGGGCCTTGGGCCGTCAACCCTGTGCAGGCTACCTAGGTATGCTGCCTCCCGAAGTTGGAACCTCGAATTGTCATTGAACACTGAGATGGGTTACTGGCCTTCTTTGACAAACACTTCATACCTACCGTTCACACCGTGTAGGTCTTCGAAGAGATTTTCATACCGAGTGGCACAGCTGAGAACACTAAGATCACTAAAGAATACGATACGTTCAAGGCCGTCGAACAGCAAGCCACCGCTAGCATGACTCAACATTGGGATAGGCCGATTGCGATCTACATACACCTTAGGTATCACCGCATGAGCAGCCAAACTTGGGTTCCTGCCGAGAACTTTCGCTGAAGGATACTTATCCAGGGCTACAGTAGTCTCATGCGATCTCGCCTGCACTTGATCTGCATCGAGCGCAGTGTAACACTTCACCAGCTGAAATGACCATTTGCCGCTGCGGTTCACTGGTAACGATCCTTGATCAATAGTGTGTAGTAAAGAAGACCTCCAACGTACGATCAGTGGTTTCGAAGCTGTCGACCCGATATCTGAGCTACGTCAAACATGCTGCGCAGTCGAAGCTACCTCCTTATACTTCTTCCAAGCGACTCTCCTCTGTACCATCCAAGGAAACCCTCTTATCTCCATGTCGTACATCCATCGTTCAACGAGCACCGTCATTCTTGCTTGGAAGGTCCACTTTCCGATCAAAAGTGTCCCCGCTGCTGATATCTTGGCCCTTCTGCTGCGTCTCTTCTGCATCCTCCAATTCCACACCCTTGAAAACATACGACCCCATACAAACAACAAAGCCTGCCAATTCGAGGCACACTCCCTGCACCGTGCGAAAATGAATGTGTAACATCGTATCCCAGTCCGCAGGACCAGAATGCGCCTGATGCAAGCGCAGTGTTTGCGTAAGAACGTGGATGCCGAGAACGACAAGAGACAGACCAGGTATATACGCGTAGCGCCACGGAACGAGCTTAGCGATGCTCCGGAGAACCTTGTTTGTGCGCTTTGCAGAATCGGTCATGACTCTCATATCCGGCAACTGCAGGTCCCTGAAGGTGAGCCAGATCACACAGAGATGGGCGCCGGCTTGAGACACGAAGTACCCAAACACGAGGACGAGCCAGATCAAGAACTTGTAGTATCCGCCTGGGTCCTGGTGCGTGAACACCGTGTGCAATGCGTGGCCGAAGGTGAAGAAACCGAGTAGCAGGATGTACAAGCCGGGTATGTAGAGGTAGCGGAAGGGGATGCGATAGAGGGCTTGGAATGTTACGCTGTTTGTTGTTGAGGTGTCGTCCATCTCCAATCGCGTGTAGATGTGTTGTAGATGCGTGGTAGATGTGTGGTGTGTTCTGGTAGATAGTCGCCCCTCCGGATGAGACGGCACAGTGGTCCGAGGAAGGCATGCGAGCTGTGCCGCATAACCTCGTTGAAGAGGATGTGTAGTATGACAAACTGCGACTGAAGGCACGTCTTGCAAGCTAACCGGGAAGACGCTATCAATTGGTTTATTCCGCACCCGATTGTAACTACCATCTGACACAGTCAATGCGACTCAGCTCACTGAACGGTCTGGCGACAAGTCTCACGAATGCAAAATTCTCGGTCAGCCTGAGGTCTCTGCAGTCACCAGCAAGCAGTCAATATGAGAATCCACAACCCGACTTATTCGATCTCAACTCCACTGCTATGCGTTGATCAACCCCGGTACAAAGATGGCTGGGGTCGGGATAATCTAGCGGCACTGCGCACTTGCTCTTCCCATTCAGCACAACATCTTTGGAGGTTGGACGCAGGGGTACAATCACGCAGCCTTGCTTCTCGAACTGGTCAGCGAAAGTTCGAATTAGGAATGGATAATGGAAAGTCCAAGTTTGGTAGCGATGAAGTGCAAGATGTTCAATTAGGATGGAAATTCGATTGATTAGAGGCCGAGCCCATTTTTTACGACACTCTCATAATCGTAGTATGTTGAGCCTAATGGATGGTAATAGGACACCAAACGAGTTGCCCGTAATGACCTGCACTCATATGTAGTGCATCGACTCTTCTCTAGATGAAAGCTTTCTGCAGCTCCTCGTTTCGCCGATCACGATGTCTGTAGCGGTCTCCATCGCGTTCTCTGCTCTTGCTATGAGCTCGTCGCTTGTCGCTGCGATGCGAAGACCTATGCTCATGCCTGTCACGGCTACGACTCCGGCTCCTATGGCGATGCCTCTGGCGCGCGGATGAGCATGCCTCCTTCTTGGGTGTCTGATGTTCGTCGTCGTCGACGTCTCGCCTCTTCCTTTTGAGATGTCGACTCCTCCTCTCCTCCCGCTCTTGGGCTGACCGTAGCTCCATTAGCTCACGGTCGCGTTCTGCAGCCCATTGCTTCCTGTCCTGCTTCGACTTCTTCAGCTGTGTCTGTGCTTTCTGCATGAATGCGAAAGGGTCGTTCGTCGATATGCGCGCCTGCTCCCGTTCTTTGCGACGCGGGTCCTCGTTTCCCCAGACGTTTTTGTTTGTGTAGCCTTCATAGAGTGCTAAGTCCTGTTTGTCTCCAGTGACGGGTGCAGGCTTTTGTACGGCAGCGTACCAGGGTCGGTTGACACCACCCCTTCCTGCGGCATTGGAGAAGCGCATTGTGAATTGGTCTTCGATGGCCTTGTCTTTCTTGCGTTTTTCCTTTTCTGCTTCGGCATTCCTCTCGCGCTTGATGGCCTCTTTCATGTCCACCGGAAACAAGTCGATGTGGCCGGCGTGGTCCTCCAACGGGGCATCGGACGCAGTGCTCCGTAGCTTCAGCACTTTCGCGTCTGTTGCCTCATCTCCAGGTCGAGCCGTGATGGACTTGGCCATGCGTATGTCGGCGTCGGTATCATCCTCACCCGCAAGCCTCCTCCTCTTTCTGTCATGACCGCGTTCATCCGTGTTGCCTGAGCGTCGTGATACTGGCGGCTTGGTTGGTTCTTCTTCCGGCAGTGGCGGGGGCGTCCGGCCTCGAAGGATGGCAGCACGTCGCTCGGCGTCGAGCTCTTGCTTGCGCTGGTCATCAGCGGCTTCGCGGGCAGCAGCGGCAGCCTCGTCGGCCTTGACACGCGCGATGTTGTCGGAGTTGTAGACGTTCCATGACTTCTTGCCTAGCAGGTGCCTGTGGGGTTGTAAGCGACCGTGGTGCAAAACGTGTGGCGATGGGATACTTACAGAGGCATGGCGACGAATCTCAAGGACACAGAATCAGAGAGTGAAGTGTGCCGCACATGGTCGGACTCGCAGGCTTCTTAACTGTGGGCAGCGAGGTCGGGCGCGGAAACATCGCGGTACCCGTCGACGCGAACGGGAGCTGCCTTGCATTAGCGTCAAGCGGGGAGGGCAAGCGCAAACCATGGTGTCTGCCTTCATCCCAGCTCCCCCACACTGCTATTGGCATAGACCAAAAAGGCGACTGGGGCTTTTTCCCAAATCTATCGCCTTCACGGTGTCGATCTGGTCTCGTTCTCCTAAGCCAGCGCTTGTAGCAATCGTGTCGTTGCTTCTTCCTAGCGTGCGCCCACTCACGGAAGGTTGTCCCAACCTCTCTGGGCGCGTCGTCTAGACCTCTGCATGAGCTCCCAAGACGCGATCCCTGCCTACATAACGGGACGTGTAAGACCATGTACTACTTGCAACTAAAACTTTGCTGAAGACGCCATCATCCACGCCGATGCTTGCATCCTCGTTCGGTACATCCTAAATAATCGTTGAGTGTTGCTTTTTGGCTCGACTTGATCCTACGGCACTCCTCTTCCGAAACGGAGACTTTAGACGAAAAGCACTTCACCTTCACCATGCCAACCTGGCTCGTTCACGGCTTTCGGTGGCCCCGCGCCCAAATTCGGATCCATGTCATTCTGCAGAATCTCGACGATGCTGCCCCAGAATGGCTAATGGCGCCTGCCACCACGGCCTGTTTGATGCAGAACTTCAAGAGCCAATGGCCCCAAGAGATGGCTGCGCTACCTGATTTACGCTTCATCGAACAGTACGATCCCGATGATGTTACCGTAAAGGATCAACCATACGCATATGTGTGCGATGTTGTGCATGAGATCAGACTCGGAGCAGATGTGGAGGAAATGAGGGGAGCGGGGCTGGGAGATGACCAGTGGGCGGCCATTGCAGACCTCCGGGACAAAGTGGCGCCAGGAGAGAAGTTGGGCTGGTTCGTAGTTGTCAATGGCGATGTCGAGAGATGGGCTCCACCGTTGGAAGAGGAGGACGACGACATAACCCCAGAGGCCAGCCATGTATCAAGTCACAGGAGCAGCATGGCACAGTCGGATTCAACCCGCAACAAGGAACAAGAACGCCCTTCTTCCAGTCGGAGTTTCAAGAAGTGGTTTGGAGGGAAATTGAGGAAAACGAAGAGGTAAGATGAGCCATAACAAGATTGGTGCACACGTATGCTGACCTGTTGTAGCGGAAGGAACCTGAGAGGCGATACACCAGAGGAGCCGGTTCCACCATTACCGCCAATGTCACCCCGCTATGCCCTTCAAGCTTCAAACGGAAAGGCGCCCGCACAGAAGAAGACGGCATCGTAATTGCTGATGATAGACGAGTTGATGAGCATGGTGTATCACGTGGTAACCAATAGATACGCGTGTGGTTGCTGGAATACCTAGGTACTATTTCGCGCAGCAGTTTGTAGTCAGAATACAGATAGTTCTTTTATTCTGTCTCCAACCGATGGCCTGGGCACACAGCTAGCTGTAGCAAGGCTTACTCACAGCCACTGTGCATGTCTCTTACTGTGTGTGCCCGTCGCAAACTCACCTTTTGGGTTAGCGTTGGCTGAGCTTCCGCGCACGTGACACGCGATTGCCTAGCTCAAATTATTATCCAAGTCGCGACCAAGCATTCAAACACGCCGCCTCGGCACCACTGCCACACATTTTACTGCTGATTTCACCAGGGAATTCCTCACTCGCGACCGCCGAGTCTGTCCCTGTAATACCGCCATAGTTTCCGCTCGACCGCTGCTCCGTCCGACGTCGTGAACCTTGCGCAACTTGCGCCGCGCTCCAGCCAGAGCCTGCAACTACCACTTCTGGTCAACACCCCCAGAACCACCGCCAAGATGAGTCGACGCGACTTCCTGTCGATGCCCGCGCCCGAGAACTATGTGGCTGGTCTCGGAAGAGGAGCCACTGGCTTCACAACGCGAAGCGATCTCGGTCCCGCGCGGGAGGGTCCCTCGGAGGAGCAGATGAAGGAGATGCTAGCAAAGCGTGCAGCATCGCTAGGCCAGGCAGCTCCCTCGGCGTATGGCGTCACCGAAAAGAAGGAGGAAGAGAGGGATGAAGAGGAGGATCGGTTTCAAGATCCTGACAATGAAGTCGGTCTTTTCTCAAGCGGCATGAACTACGACAAGGACGACGACGAAGCAGACCGCATATACCAGGAAGTTGACGAGAAGATGGACAAGCGACGCAGAGCCAGAAGGTTAGTACCCCCACTTTCATTTACCCTATGCCCCTTCCCCTCCCCTCTATCGTTGTTATCGAAGTATTCATCGTGTGTTTTTCCACGAACAGATACCGATGTCCGCCCTAGGGAAGCTCGCGAGCAACAAGAACGAGACGAATACGAACGAAACAACCCCAAGATCCAGCTCCAGTTTGCCGATCTAAAACGAGCCCTCGGCGGCGTATCCGAGGAAGAATGGGCAGCCCTGCCTGAGGTGGGAGATATGACGGGTAAAGCGAAGCGCGCACGTGAAGCCCGGTTGGCAAATTCGAGGTCCTACGCCGTACCGGACAGTGTTTTGGCCGCGGCATCCAAGAGCGGCGAGCTTGATACCACGATATCGTCGGACGCTGACGGCATGACGACGAATCTCGCAAGTATCGGAGCTGCCCAACTGTCTGCCTTGACTGTACGGCTCGACACAGCAGCAAGCGCCCCTGGCACACAAACCACAACGACCTCTGGAACCTCGACGTCTGTGGACCCCAAGGGATACATGACGGCGCTCAACAAAAAGGAAGCTATGGGCGAGGAAGTTCCAGTTGAGGACATCAACCGCGCGCGCGTACTGCTAGAATCGGCTGTCAAGACTAACGTACACAATGGTCCGGGATACGTTGCGTTGGCGCGACTCGAAGAAGTGGCCGGGAAAGTTCACACAGCCAAAAAGGTCATTGCTCGCGGGTGCGAACTTTGTCCCAAATCGATAGTCGTTTGGGAGGAAGCGATCAGGCTGAACAAGGACAATCTCCACAACGCCAAGATCATTGCTGCCAATGGCATCAAACAGAATCCCAAGGCCGTGAAGTT